GAATCATAAGGTACAACACTTAATGATAGTCATAGGGTACAAATAAGCAATCAAATCATACTAGGAAATCAATATAATCGTAAGGATACATGTAACAAAGTTGCAGTCATACAGTCATAAGTGGGAGGAGAGGGGCGATAGGAATGATGAGAAGATTGATAGTAATAGCAATACAGACTTAATAAATAGTTTGACACTGTTGAGGGAATTATTTGTTTAGCAGAGTAATGGCATTCAGGGAAAAAACTGTCCTTATGTCTTGTTGTTCTGCTGTACAGTGCCCTATAGACTCATTTTGGGGGTAGAAGTTGAAACAATTTATGTCCAGGATGTGAGGGATCTGTAGATATTTTCACAGCCCTCTTTTTGATTTAATTAGTGTACAGGTCCCCAATGAAAGGACCACATTTGCTTCTTTTACTGTCCTCTATTTCCCTTCACCCAGTGGCATTGCTTGTTTGCTATTATGTTTTTATTATTCCTTTTTAGGTATTCCCATCCATCTTCAACTTTTTTCCCTTAGTTTTTCCTGCTATGAAATCCTATTCATTTTTGTTCAGGGTTTCTTTTTCTAAAGTCCAAGATATTTTTCTGTTAAAATCAAGAGTTCCAACATGAGACAGTTGCTTTCCCTATTCTTTCTGATACTTCCACTTCCTCAAGTGAATCTTTCCTGTTGATTAGTGTTAAGTCAAGGATAATTGATCATCTTTTGCTTTCCTTTACCCTCAGAAAAATACAATAACAGCAAGATAAGTCATGAATTTTCTGGAATGTACAGGCAGCAAAATTCAATATTATTATATTTTTAAAAATCATTGTTTAATGGGTTCTATTACTACATTTTTTCATTTTTAACTTGCACAACACTTAAAGTCCTCGTAATCAAGCACACCATGCTTTGGGCATTTGTACCACTACTTACTAAAACCAGTCATGTGCCAGCAGTCCATCAATGAAATAATTCAGGCAGCGGCTCAGAAAACAAATTTCTCCTATTATCACTTTTTGCCTAGTGAGTTATTTATCTACAGCATTCTTCTTAACATTTTTCTGAGTTGAATTCAAGCTGATTCAGTATGGCTTATGAATGAATAGAATGAAACAACTTGAGAACTTTGCATAAACTAAAGGAGGCTGTGGTATTGTTGTGCCATGCTTGGCACAAGTCAGAAAAGTAATTACTGATGTTACAGCATTTTATAAATGTTCATTGTTGAAAAGGGATGCAAACTGAACCATCTGCTCCTATTAGACGCTTATAGTGGCACAAGGGTGAGAGGGGAATGTGGGTGGATGCCTATAAATAGCAGAATTTGCAGAGTTCTTAAGATTTTTTTTTCTGATGTCCTTTTTCCCCAGGATGCTTTCTACCAGGTAATTGCATCACTTTTCTATTTGAGTGCAGCAGTTTTGCAAGCCTACACGACGATAGAAATCAAATTTTTTGTTGGTGAATTCAAGGCATACCAAATAGATATAGCAGCTGTGGTGAGTATATGTCCTTCAACTAAAATTGAAATGATTCATTAATTAGGGCAGGCTTCTTCAATCTGCTGCTTTCCAAATGCACTGGGCAACTGAAAGAGAACTGGGCTTAATTTATAAATTGGAAGTGAAAGGAATGGTGTTTTTTTTTTTTTGATAAAAACTTTTTGGTTACATTTTTTTTATTAATTAATTGTTAAGAAGTAACAATTTCTTATTTTATTATTAAAATATAAAATGGCATATACAATTAGTGTCTTAAAGTAACATCTTGCCAGTTTCTCAAATATTTGTGTGCTGCTTCAGAGCTGTTTTCTAAACTTTATATGAAAATTCAGCTAATGGAGTAACAGATATAAGGCTGAGATATCTCTGACTGGATGACAGCTCTGCTTACAATGAAGCATTTTGTTAAAAAGATGTTTTATAATGAGTGAGGCGATTTGTGTGTTTATTCCAGTAGTGTTCGCTTACTCAGTTTTCCCCCCACATGGTTAATTAGTTCTCAGGGTTGAGTCTGGAGCTTTCCGAGATCAGAATGTGATGTGCCCCTGAATTATGGTTCTCCTCAAATGATAGGCATATATAGTTATAAAATAAATTGGCTAAATGACATTATGAACATTAGAGATTTAAGAACTGCTTGTTCTTTGGGTGTGATTTAAAGTTTATTGCAAATATATAACACCTTTTGGCATGGTTTGGGAGTAATTGGGGCTTAATTCAAGATCCCAAACAAAAGTATCTATGTATATCCTGTGTTGAGTTCATCCTTATCTATGGGTGACCCTATAGAGGAAAAAAATCTGTATAGATAGAAAATGCCTTTAACTAAAATGGCTCAGACAGAATGAGAACACAATCAGGTACTTTTAAGGTACATATGAGTGAATCTGTTAACTACAAGAATATAAATGGATTATTGTGTAAAGTATAAGTCAAGGATAACTTTTTCCTTCCTTCACTCTCTAAAAAAATATATTTAAAAGTACAGAACAAGTCTGTGTAATACAAGCAATTAAGAATTAGAGATTATATAAGGAATTGCAGTATATAAATCTTAGGACAGATTGTTATATAGAGGAACACATAGTACTGGACATAACTTATTACAATAACAAAAGTCATGACTTCTTGCATTTTTCATTAATAAACAAAAATCTGATTCTTATGAGGAGTTAATATTGAGATTAAGAGCGATGACTAGATACGTTGGGGTTTGAAGACAACTCTCAAATGCTGTGCAGGGCTTTGGCTTTCTTTCTTACTGATGCTAATTAACATGATACTTTTAGGAACCACAACTTTGGCCTTGGCAATAAATTCTGGTTCCATAGGGATTGTGGCACTTCTAACATATGCATTCAATGGAACATGTATAGGGAGTCACTATATGTAGACCCTGAAATTCCTCATATACTTATTGTACTAGTGAGAACTCTAACCCCAATTAATACAGATTTTAAAGGTTCCTTATGAGATACTCAGCCTGATTTCACATTTAGTTCACTAGTATAAGTATTTGCCCTGTAACAAATCTCATAAAATCCCCAAAGTGTAACCAGCTAAAACTAAAGAAAGTTATATTAATTTCAGTTGGATAGTCACACCTACTTAACTCTGCTCTTCAGGTTATTGGATGGGCAACAGATTTAGGGACTTTCCAGCCCTGGGTCAGACATAGCCCCTCCTGGTGACGATATAACTTGTGATCAGTGGCTTGGTATTGCGATACAGCTTATTGTATTATGAGTGAATTATTAAAATGAGACTTTCTCTAAGATCTCAAGGTAGTTAACTTAAGGGTCTTCTTTAATTTTATTCTTACAAAAGCAAGTCTGTGGGTAGAAAGTCAAACAGAAAGGTGAGCACTGATTAGTCATTGATTCTCTGTGAACTCCCAAACTCCCAAATGTATATGTATATGGTCATGGAAGCTATTCAAATAGTCTGGATAAATTTGGGGAACATTTGAACCTGAAATCAGAGATATTGGGAAATTGAGAATCTGGTAGAGTAGAAGTATTCTTAAGCTTTAAATGTTAATAATATTTAATATTGCGATCGTAGAGGGCATCCGCAAAGCAACATGGATAGAGTGGAACTATGTACAACCTACACAGACATTAGAAGAGCAAGTCCTCATAGCTAGAAGCGCTTGTTGATACTTTGCAATAGTAATACCTTCCGAGTATGATGATCAGCTGATAGGTATGCTGTGATGATAGTGTGTGTGTGAATAAAATCAGCATACAATAAATGTGCCTGTGATATATCCCAAAATCTAATTGTACTAAAGCAAAAAGAGAGAAGTGGCTAAACAGAAAATGTTTCTGTGCTGGGACAGAAAATTAATAACAAAGGCAAGAAAAAATGACACCAAGACTCTTGCTCTGGGAAAAGGTCAGTGTTAGGAAAAGTCAGAAGAAAATTAGACATGACTTTGACTGGCCAAACTCCGAAGCTAAATTCTCTTCTCTTCTCTTTTAGGTTTTCGCATTTGCAGTCACACTGACTTATGTAATCCATATGGTGTTCTCCCTCCTGAGATGGAAAGCTTCTTAAACCCAATGTTCTATGGATTTTACAGACATATTTGTTATTTTGTAAAGAGCTTCCTTTAGAAATCTTAAATACACAATAATGTACTTTATTACATGTCAACAGCAAATTTCTTTATCAATATTTACCCCCAATCGTTGAACCCCGGATTCCAAATCCTTGTTAGAAGAAGAGAGTGAAGGAAACTAAGTATCTACCTTAAAATACATTTGTATTACAATGCCTTTTAAATGGACAATAGGCTGTAATTTACAATTATGTAAATTGTACAATAAAAAGCTTCCAAGTTCAACTTTTAGATGGAGTTTTTTTTTTCATTTTCTTCAGTGGAGTAATCTACCAACATGAACAATGATGTGGCTGAGTTTGTTGGCATCACTAAATTAGATTGATGATGTTATCTAGTTGGATAATGAAACATTTACGAGCAAACCACCAATCTCAAGAGCTTCACATTCAACCTTGAGCTATAGATGCTATCATCTTCTGGAACACTACATTACTTTGAGTGATTAAATGTTTCAAATATCAGTACTTCAAAACGGATTGGGAAAGGTAGCGATGCATGTCTGTGTGAGAAAAATTCATTTATTCTAAGCAAAGAATAAATTAAGTAGTAAATATCCATTTTTTAAAAATTGTAACATCATTTGATGGGCCAAACTGATAATGACTGGTCTAAAAACAGATGTAACAGTTATGGTGGTGTACTTGTTGGAAATGATCTACACATCAGGGGTGCCAAACTCAAGGCCCGTGAGCTGGATCTGGCCTCCAATGTGCTTAGATCTGGCTTGTGGGGCCTCCTGCCAGAAAAAATGGAGCTCTGTTTTCATCCATAACATCACTATCACAAGTGACATTGAGTTGGCCACACCCATTCTGGCCACACCCCCAGGTCAAACACAACCCGGATGCAGCTCTCAATTAAATCAAGTTTGTCATCCCTGATATACAGCAACTAATTTTATGTTAGGGATTGTTAAATGTAAAAAGAAAAATAAAACTGCCAGTAAAAGAAAGGAAAAATACAGGAAGATTTATGTGTGTGTGTGTGTGTGTGTGTGTGTGTGTGTTTGTCATTAGAATTTAGGATGAAATATACCAGGGTAGGCTAAACACATGGACATTTAGGGCAGACAAAAAGAGATACAAAAGTACAAAAGAGGGAGGGAGAAGAACTTGAACAGGCGATGACCAACTCTAGAGCCTGTTCAGCCAGATTGTTTCCTTATGGTTCCTCGCACAGGAAATCAGTAGCAATGACTTTCTGGGAAAATCTTAGAAACTGTTCTTAAAAAAATACACACACATATCTCAATTTTTTTTCTCTCTTTTTTAAAAAAAAATCCTAATTATAACTTGTGTTTGTGCATGGTGAAAGTTGTTAAGGACAAAATAAATCAGTAAATCATTTATTCAGCGAGAATATAGAAAAAGTCACCGCCAGCCACACAATATACAATGCACAACTGTAAAGGCTAAGAATAGGAGCACGTTACCTAGGGAAATACTCCTTTATTTTGAATTGATATAATAGAACAGAACAGACAGAATAGAAAATAGAGCTGGAAGGGACCTTGGAAGTCTTGTAGTCCAGTCCCCTGCTCAAGCAGGAGAACCTATACAATCTCACACAGGTGACTGTCCAGTCTCTTCTTAAAAATATCTAGTGATGGCGCACCCACAATTTCTGAAGGCAAGCTGTTCCACTGGTTAATTGTTCTTACTGTTAGGAAGTTTCTCCGTAATTCCTTATTTCTTGTCCTGCCCTCTGGTGCTTTATAATAATATAAAATAGTATAATAATAGAAGATTATTCTGTAATATATAGAATAATTTGACCCCCCCCCTTCTTTGACCCCCCCTTCTTTGTGGCAGCCTCTCAAAACTGAAATACTGCTATCAGGGCACCCCTAATTCTTTTTTTCTTCAGACTAGCCAGATCTAAAATCTGCAGCTGTTCTTCATATGGTCTTGTCTCCAGGCCTTTGATAATCTTAGTTGCTCTTCTCTGAACTTTTTCCAAAGTCTCAACATCTTTTTTGTAGTATGGTAGATATTTTGTAATGTCCAGAAGTAGATGAATTGCAAAGTAGGAAGGATTTCCGGAGGGGCTTTGACTAAGCATCAGAATTACCTTGGAGAAATTCTGGAGATTGAATAAATTGCCCAATGACTACAGGAACACAAATGTCCCTATTTTTAACAAAGATGAAATAGTATGAGAATGTTAAGCCAGCCCGTTTGACATTGGTACTGGGATTCTATAGCAATAATAAACCAGTCACTCTATGGCTACCTTGGAAACAATGCCATGATCAGTATAAATTAGCATGGATTAATCAAGAATGCCTCATCAAACTAACTATATTTCATTTTTGATGGAGTAATTTCACTGTAACAATTAAAGGGGATATATTAAAGAATTTGACATGTACCCCATAACATTCTGATTACTACTCTGTTTTGAGTCAGGCCTAGATAATGTAACAGTTAAATGAATCGATATCAATAATCATTTAGTTTCCCAATATACTGGAAGAAGATAACTTCTTCAGATGCGTCAAGTTCTCCACTCAACATTGACAGATTTTTTTAAATTAATGATTTGGATGAGCAAAAGACATAACATTGGATGGTATAGATAAATAGCTAGAAAACTCATAATGACAAAGACAGATGCAAAGCTTTTCACTTTAGGAAGCATAAATCATGTTTGGTGTGTGATTGTGGCTAATGGTAGTTGTGAAAAAGATCTTGAAATGATAATATCAGTGATCAGTATGATATAACCACAACGAAGTCCACTACAATTTTAGGCTATGTGTAGCGGTTTTTAAGTCTTCTTTAGTTTATTTATTTATTTGCAACAAATCAAATGACTCAGGGCAGTAAACAGACACTTACAAACAGAAATCTCTTCCAATCTGAGAAATAATAATCCCTGAGCCAATGGTACTGAATGCCAGTGAAAGGCTCAGTAGGAAAGATTCTAACTGAGAATATCCATAAAAGTGGTCAATGCTGAATTCTGAACAAAAGGAACACAAATATTTATTTCCTTGTGGTTGATTCTCTGGTTTACTCTATGGCTCAAACACCATGATTATGGTAGCCACTTCCAGGTATCACTCTTTAATTCAGAGACATTAGAACACATTCAGAAAAATGCAAGCAGTTGAACAGGGGACTAGAAATTAAGTCTTCAGACAAAAGATTGAAGGATCTATTTATTATTAAGAAGGGAAATTAAAGGAACATAACTCTGCAAGTATCTGAAGAAGAGCTTCACCGAAAAAGGCCAAGAATATTCTCTACTAATTCAGCACATGGAATGATAAATTTAAATTACAGGAAGGTAGATTATGTTTGATTATTGGGAAAAACTTCCAAACAATAAGAGTAATTTTACCATGAAACGAGTTATCAGGAGAAGGATGGCCTCTGCTACAATGGATGCATTCGTGTAAAATCTGGACAGCCGGAAGATTTTAATCTGATTCTTGCACTGAGCATGACTCCAGACTCCATGATTTTATACATTATTTATATAATTTTATACATTTTGAGGACTTCGTTTGGCAGCCCAAATTTTTTCACACAGTTCCTGATGTGGAAATGACTTCTATGTGGAATTTACTAGCTGAGTTGTATATCTTACCCATGATGAATATGACAGAACTTTTAATGAGCCTGGAATGGGGCGAGTGTCTTTTATATGATAGCCTCTTTGTTAGGAAATGACTATAGATATATCTTTGCAAAGACAATGGTGGGAAATTGGTGGGACACAGATATTGCAGCATCTGCCATTGAAGTAAGTGGATATCCCACATATACTTATTTTCCTAAATCAGTGTTTCTCAACTTTGGCAATTTGAAGATATGTATACTTCAACAAAAGTTGCCAAGTTGAGAAATACAGTCCTAAATTGTTCAATAGAAGTACATGACATATTTGCTCTTATATTTTAGTTGCTCTTATGAACAATGAGGTGGTGGCTCAGTGGCTAAGATGCTGAGCTTGTTGATCAGAAAAGTCGGCAGTTCGAATCCCTAGTAGTGAGCTCCCGTTACTTGTCCCAACCTCTGCCAACCTAGCAGTTCAAAAGCATGTAAAAATGCAAGTAGAAAAATAGGAACCACCTTTGGTGAGAAGGTAATAGCATTCTGTGTGCCTTAGACATTTAGTCACATGACCACAGAGACATCTTCGGACCCTGCTGGCTCTTTGGCTTTGAAACGGAGATGAGCACCCCCCGCCCCAGGGAACAACTAGTACACATGTGCAAGGGGAACCTTTCCCTTTTTATGAGCAATGAGAAACAAAACAGCATTGGTAAAAGAAAATACCTCATTTAGGCCCAGGACCTCAAATACCTGTTCTGCACAAGTATTTGTTCAGAGGTAAAGGGGCAGAGGCAGGTGAAGAATAATAAAGAATGGTTCTGTGGAAAGGTGTGGCTAGGACTGGTGAATATTTTTAAGAACTGGTTTGTACCAGTAATATACAGCTCCTTTGACATTCTGTTTTAATAAGCCACTGTTTGTTATAAAATATGGGAAAGGTGGAGAAGAGAATATGATTAAAGCAGATGATCAGGGAAATGCCTTAAATGCAGTTTCAGTTTAATGATCAACCAATATAGAATTTGGTTTTATTCAACCTTTCTTCTGTAACTATTTTTATTGTGAGGATTGAAAGACTAATATGTAGATGATAAAGTAAATTTGTTCTCTGTTGCTCTGGCAAATAGGCGTAAACCAATCTTTTCATGAAGCAGGAACTTGAGCATATCTGGCATGAACTTCCTATAATAATGTTTTTGAAGTGGCAGGTTCCCTATGATTTGGAAAGGCTTGGAACACCAGCTTTATCCCATTTGGTGTTCCCAACAGCAAAATATCTTTGTTGAAAATACATGATTTGCCACTGAATTTGAATTGCATGATTTGAGGAGCTGCATAAAACAGACTGGGGGGCTTATAGGGGGCTCAAGGGATCACAATCTGCTACTTTTCCATTGAATTTTCCCCCAAGAGCAGTTGTGCCATGGCCAGTGTCACATTTAGACTATTGCACCTGTGTTGATTGGAAACAGTCATTGAATATCTTGGCAGGATATGTTGCTTTTTTGTATATTGAGCATGTGCCTGGTTTTTGTTTCTCTTTTTTACAATTCCAAATACAGCTTTGAAAATGGGTAAATAGAATGGAGCACCATATAAGGCAACCATTCATTGGTGGAAGGGGCAGAAACAGGTAAGCTAGAAAGTTGTTAAGACTGCCAGCTGTGTTTGAAGTATCTACCTTAATGTTTTAAGGCAAGTATTTTCTCTCTTTTTGGTTCTTTTGGCTTTCTGTTTTAAACGTTCTTTTTCTTTGTTTTTTCCCCAGAGTGACAGCTTCATTCATTTGAATATGTAAAGTACTAAATGTGATTCTAGGGCCAACATTGACTTACATAAATCACAGGAAACCTCCATTTTTACCAAACCAACATTTAAAAGCCCTGCACTGTAAACAATCCTTCATCTACAACAGTGGTTCTCAACCTTTGGGACTCAAACGACCCTTTCACAGGTGTCACCTAAGACCATCCACCTCCACTGGCATCGCCCATGCTCAGAAGCGCGTCCTGAAGCAGCAGGTGCATGAAGAGCACCGTGTGGTGAAGCAGCCTCCTCCCAGTTCCGGGCGCAACCTCCACGCCAGGGAAAGGTTGAGGCACTGAAGGGGGAGAGAGATGGGTTCTTCTGAGTGGCAGATCAGCCTCAGCTCTGACGGACATCTGAAGCGAGCATGGTTGGCGGTGCCGCTTCAGCCCAGCTGCCTGCACAGGGGCTTGAAGGCGCCCAGAGAGCAGGAGACCGGCAGGGCAGTTGGGCTACCCGCTTCAGCTGGTAGGATGGGCTCTCGCCCAGGCAGGCACATGCTGGGATTCAAGCCTCCTGGGGCCTGGATGCTGCCTTTGCCACCGCTGCCACCGCCACTGTCCTGCGGGCTAAACTGAGCTCAGAGACTTTTTGGGCCCCGGGAAGGGCTGGCAGGAGAGGCCGGAGGGGAGGGCAGGCCCCGTCCACCCATTCCTTCCATCCTGAAGAATTCCACTTGGGATGGAAGCACAGTTCAATGTAGCTTAAGCCTCCATTTAAAATCCCATTTAAAGGACAACTTCTTAATCTGTGTTTAAGAAAGAAAGAAAGAAAGAAAGAAAGAAAGAAAGAAAGGAGGGAGGAATGGAAAGAAAGAAGAAAAGGGAGGGAGGAATGGAAAGAAAGAAAGAAAGAAAGAAAAAAAGAAAGAAAGAAAGAAGAAAAGGGAGGGAGGAATGGAAAGAAAGAAAGAAAGAAAGAAAAGAAAGAAGAAAAGGGAAGGAGGAATGGAAAGAAATAAAGAAAAGAAAGGAAAAGGGAGAGGAATGGAAAGAAAGAAAGAAGAAAAGGGGAGAGGAATGGAAAGAAAGAAAGAAGAAAAGAGGGGGGAATGGAAAGAAAGAAGAAAAGGGAGGGAGGAATGGAAAGAAAGAAAGAAAGAAAGAAAAAAAGAAAGAAAAGGGAGGGAGGAATGGAAAGAAAGAAAGAAAGAAAGAAGAAAGGGGAGGGAGGAATGGAAAGAAAGAAAGAAAGAAAGAAGAAAAGGGAGGGAGGAATGGAAAGAAAGAAAGAAAGAAAGAAGAAAGGGGAGGGAGG